GGGTCGATGGTTGGACTCGATGATCTTAGAGGTCTTTTCCAACCTTAATGATTCTATGATTCTATGATTCTGTGATATGCAGAAAAAGTAGTTTTTCACTGAAGGAACACACTGGAGAAAAATGCCATGATTCCTAATCTGAATTCACATTTCGGACTAAACTCCTCAATAAAAAAGTGAAGAATTTCCTTCATCAATAACTTGACCCCAACAACAAAAGATATGTCTGGATCTGGTTTAGGACAAGATTGTCAGCATATCTCACCAGCAGAATCATTCATCTCCTAGTGAAACTCATCTCATAGTACTTAGGCTGAGAAAAACTATTCTGTTGATGAATTAAAGTTTATATCCATGCTGCTTACTGAAGAACAGGATTTAGATGGTGATGCATTTGATAAAGATACGGTGATACTACTTACTGCGGCTGGTATTTTCTGTATACCTAAAAGCATTTTTTAAAGTACTTAGGACAGCTAAGGGAGGTACCAGTTGGGTACCTGTCTCCAGACACCTACCTGAAAATCTCAGTCTTCAATTTTTTTTCTGAAATTACTAATGTAGAATATACCTGTTTGTGCTTTTCTGTATCTATGCACTTATCGATACTATCAATAGTAATATAATGAGGTGGTATGATCTTCACTGACATGAAGTTCTTGTGTGCAAAGGCAAACAATATAAGAACATACCAAAGTCTCACTACGTAAGTAAACAAGCAGGGTGGCAAACTGATCTATGTGTGAAACTTTGACTCTGTTATAATCAACGGCAAAACTGCCAGTAATATCAGAGGCAAAAAATTTCACTCGTGGGCTGCGTGATACATCCATGGGCACAAAGACAGGCTGTAGAAAAGTTCAGAAATAGAAGAGCTTAGGTCTCAGCCTTTAAATGCAGTCCTTACTCTCGTTAAAACCAATTTCTGTTTAAGACCCTTCCTTCATCAGTCTGTGTACGTATCTCCTGTTAGCTTCTGCTAGAGTTCTGAATATGTCTCAAAGATAAACAGACTGCTTAATTATTAGTTGGTGGTGCATGACAGAATTTTGGGAACAGGACTGTAAATGTCACACGAACAGTAAATATGTTCATATTTTGAAGTTTGGAAGTAGGCATCAGTTGCCTTCACTGTAATGAAAATATACCTTTTTATTGCTAGCAAGCCTATTTTCATGAGATAATTATACAGATTTAGGTCCCTATGAGGGTTAAATGAGTCTTCAAATAGTACTACACTGTTCTGTGCCCTGACTAGTTACAGTCTAAACATTCCAGGATTTGTCAGAACATTTTGCAGAAATAACACAGAGTTTTGACAATGCTCGTCTCAGGAAATGCGCTGAACGGTGAATGATTTCTTCAGTAGCATCTGATATTTCTGAAATACCTGCTACATCTGTGAAAAAGTTTTATGGAACAGAATTTCTGTTGATGTTACAGTTTGTATACAACAGAGTCTATTACTTTCCTAAGATTTTGAAAAATACATGTGTATGAATTCATACGCATAAAAGCATGAGCCTTCAAAATGCCAAGAGGCTGATTTTTAGAAGTATCATCTTGTGTTTTTTGCAAGTATCTATACTATAGAAAGTATGGAATTTCAGAATTAAAACTGGAATAAACATTTCTGTATTATTTCATAATTTACAGTTATTGATCGATGGTTATAAAGTTTTCAAATGTTAAACTTTGCAGGTTGTTAGAGACAGTTATTAATTTTCGGGTAACAGACAAAAAATTCGAAATCTGGAGGAAAAAAAAGCACAGCAGTACCCAAGCTAACTTCTCTTGCTTATGAAACCAAGACACCCTAGCAGCAGACTGCAGGCAGTGCTGTTAGGCAAACTGCTAGCAGACTTCCTTTCAACTATGCCTAATTAGGCTTAAGTATTGAAAGACATACATATGCCACCGAAGTAGAAGCATTTTTCTTCACAAATGTAAAAACGTATCAGAATATCAGTAAGTATATGCACAAAGTAACAGCTTAAGTCTCGTTCGGGTACGCAGCCAGTAGCTGAAACAACCACTAGTGGTATATGCTGTACCGATTTTTAGAAGTATGTTCAAGCACACGCAGTACCTGCAACTTTTACATCTATAAAAAACCAACTTTACGGAACTTGTTGAGGAAATAGACCGGACGATCGTAAGGTTACTCTAACTCCCTTACAAGTTAGAGAAACAGCCGAAGTCAGCTATTCCATAACTCTGCTGCCGAAAAGTGTAGCGGAGATGCTGATTTGGCTAATGAGGTTGTCTGGCGTCGCTCGGCAGACCGTATTGAAGATTAACTGCCCGGGTCGCCTAACAAATAACGTTCCTGGAAAAACGACCGGAGCGGCGGGGAATAAACTCCGCTCCGTCCTGCC